TCTGTGTATCTTTGGTCAGACTGTCGTATTTGCCAATGAGGTTTGCTTGGAGTGAAACGACATCTTAAGGTGCCAGTGGGTGGTCACTGGTCCTGATATCCCTCTCTCAGTTCACATTTGTCACACTACTCTGGTTTGCTGTGTGGATTGATCCTCTCAAAGTATGTTGGGGAGAGTAGAGGCTACGATTGCCCATGTCTTTTTTTGTCAAGAAGACTTCGTTTCTGGAACCTTTCCGACCAAAAGGAACCAAAAGGATCGGCAACTCCAAAGCGCGGTGAGGACCACCACTTGGGGGTCAAGCCATGCTGCATGCCTTGCTCGAAAAAGGACACACTCCATGCACTCTGTGCCTGGCTGCTGAGTTGTTGTCATGTCTCCGGCCATCGCTTCAATGCACTGCGGGGATGATCATCAAAGAAAGAGGTACAAGTGTATCACAAGTCATATGTTCTCGTGCTTTGGTGTTGCATGGACATGCTTCTCTGCTGGTGATGTCCCAAGGTGTAAACAATGCATCAAATCCAAATCCATCCAAACACAACGCATGATTATGATTGGAGATTCTCAGAGTGGAAGGCTCGGAATCCCCTGAGGCAGGACCTCAAGGCTCCCCAAAAGTGGTATTACTATAGCCTATAGCGTCTAAATTTAATGTATCCAACCAGCAAAATTACCTTCTGTCTTGCCTCATTTGCCCAAAACATTTCAAGATCGTGTGCAACCCGTTTGCCCAATTGCTTTTGACATCTCGGCCAAGTTTACGGATACGTGGGCTAGCATGTGCTGCTTTTTCAGAGGGTGACTCACAAATCTGGTCTGTGATTGACTTGGCAACTAAAACTTGTTCTGCCTTTTGCGACCTCTACTTCTAGGTCCAACGACTTGGAATGTGAAACATCTGGAAACACGGACTGGTCCGAATCTGTGAGAACCTGGATCTGGAGTCGACCGAAGACCAAATCATCAAAGAAATCTATCGAACAACATCTTGGGGATGGAATTTACAGGTGACTTTGGGAGAATGTTGATGATTATGTTATATAGTTTTTTTTTTAATGGTCGATCATGGTTGATCTCTACAACTCAACCATATAATGAAGTTCCCGCTTGCTTCTCGCGCACAACACGCCGGACACCTCTTCTACCCACCCAGCAGGCGCGGCTCCAAGGGATCCAGGCCGAAAACAGCCTACGGCAGACGTCACTCGAGGGATGGAAACTTCAATCATCCCTGTGCGAATTCGACCTTTCACATGGACATCCTTTTTTTATTATCACAACCCGGGTTGGTCGATTGTTTAGGCTAAATTCGAAGGAGGATCTTCAATCCTGACCTACAAACAATTGGGAAGGAACTGAAAGAAAGCTGCTCCTCCGGTCCGTCGATGTAATTGATAAACATACGGAGGACTAAGGTAGCTATAGGTCGCTGAGGTTACCTTTCGTTATTGCCAGGTGAAAACATGTACCAGACCAGGCTTCACTTGAACAGATCCTGGCCATGTTGGATTTCTGGGCGGGTAAGTAGAATATGTCTGTGTGTCAGGCTGGATCCCTTTCTTATCTTTCTTTACTGTAGATACGTGGAAAAGGAACATGCAATGAACATGTCTGGGCTGTGTCCCAGGGTTCCCATCTGACACGCAACTTGTTCGACTTGTTGGCATGCAAGAACTAAGAGGGAACAAAGGGACCACACCCAACTAGGATTTGCTGTCCAGGAACCAGGAAACTTAAGCCATCTTCTCCGGACTTTGACCAAATCAAAAGGAACTCCCTTCATGATGTCTTTTCCGGACATCTCAAAATCACTTCAGATCTCTATAGCTGGCACTAATGAAAAGAACCTCTAATGAGGAACTCCTTCAGGTGCCAAGGAACTCTCTAGCCTGGCACCTCGCGGCGCAGCTCTTCCCGCCCCCGGTTGGTCGTTGGCGCCTTCACTGCTGCGTCGACCTCCAGGACATGACGATGAGCTCCACGCACCCCACGGGCGAAGAGCTCCTGGGTGGGCGGACCGCCGTAAGCGATCCCCAGTGGCCGTGATCTCCCAAATAGATAGACAACTAAGAGTTTGTTGTGTTCATTTCATGTCCACCTGTAAGCTCTATATGGCTTATGGAAGTAGATGGAAGTAGACAAGTAAGAGACCACATTAAAAATGTATTGGACACCGTGCCACTATCTATTTGGGGACCACTAGAGTGAAGAAAAACACGAGCTGCTAAAGACTGGCCGTCGAAACACAGCGGCCTGGAATCTCTGGTAAACATTAAAAAAAATCACAGCAGGTGCAAAATAACATGATGTACTCTTCCGAAAAGATATGTTCATTGAAAACGCTTATTATATAAATGAGTCGACAGTTATTTTGTGTTCTTCTGTGTCAGTGTCAGGGTCTTGCCCTCTTTTATCAGGTTCATTTAGGATTTAACGGTACAATTTCCTTTCTTAGGGGTCCAACTGAGGGGTCTAGAAGACAAGACCACGCAAAAAACATAAACATTAACATAACAAGTCATCAAAGATCATGAATTGTTCGATATTAGATCAACGTCATGCCTCAACACAACACACATCACCACATGTGGACTGCCCAAGGCAATCAGGAAAACACATCCCTAAACGTGTTGTATACGTGAAAGTGGAATTCACCCAGCTCGGGAAGTCTGATGACATCACCCCACCCTTGTTTGTCTCATACGTCTCGTGCCGATTGTTTGGGTTTCTTCGTTTTCAAGGCAGGCATTACGGCATGCCCATCACTTAAACAGAAGGAAACAAAAGGAAAAGCCCTCGATCCTCCCAGGGTCTTGGCGATGTCCATGGTCATACGCATTGCTAATGTCTGCAGAAGATGCCAGTACTGATGCCAGTATACAGTACACCCTTGACTCCAAGTAGACAGTCTTTGACAAAGGAATCCTAGACATCAACAAGTCACATAGAAGTGGAAGACTCTTGGTTCGTTTAGGACATGTTGCCTTCCACTTGTTCTTTTTTTCTTTCTGGGAGGCCAAGTTTCATAACTGCATTTAGATCAATGTGCCAGTGGACACCCCTGGCAGCCCTTGGCGCAGTCTCCTCCACCGCCATCGGACTGCATGCGGTGTAATCCCAGCAGCTGAAGTTCTCCCAGGACCTATGGGTCTGAAGTGAAGTATAGCACAGTCTGACGGTGACCACACGTGACCATCTTAAAATATCTACCTTTTTTTTCGTGTTACTTCCCGAGTGTCGAAATGTGTCCACTTTGAAAGGCGAGTGATGGAAGCTTTCATCTCAAGGACTGCCACTCCCTAAACCTCCACACACTTCCCAAGGTCTGGACCCTTCTGGCACCCCTGAAAGGAGGATATACGACTGGAGCCCTAGGACGAACGTGGTGACCTGGTGACGTTCTGTTTGGTGCGACGCGGCATTCGTCGGGAGCCCGGTCGATTGACGTTCGGGTGGATTGGCGCGTCATTCATCAGCGTCAGAAACGGGTGATGATTTTAATATATGTATATATGTTAATCACCAGTCATCCGAAAAAGAGGGGTCACCTGATGGCAACAGGTCTTGAGTGAAGTAGGACATCTAGTTCACAGATATTCACAGTCTGCTTTGAGAAGTCCAGGATCCAACAACGAACTAGTTACCTAAGAATATTTGATCAATAGGGATCCCTTTTCTGACTTCTCAAGGATTCCAGGTGCGACTGAATGACTCTCTTCGCTAAAGGTTTGCTGTCGATGTCATGACTATGTCAGGCTCACTGCCAAATACACTATACCGAGACCCCACTCAAAAGAATCAAACGACCTTTGGTGCTTCCTGCCCACCAGTGGCCGATGGACATCACAACCAGACCCAAACCGATGTGGGAAGACAAACAGTTGGAAACAGAAGGGATTTGGGCTCTTGCAGTTGAAGCAGTTGAAGCGAGTGCGAAAACAGGACAACGATGGCGAACATGGCAGCTCTATTCGTAGGAGTGAAAATCACCTGCCGGCGATGGATTGGGATGTTGGATGATGTTGGGATGTTCGTGTCTGGAACTGACACAAGAACCTAGAAGCAGTCAGCAGTCCACAGTTTAACAATCGTAAAAAGTAAAAATGGCCGGTTCTTCAACGTTCAGTAGCCAGGATTATGCGCTTCCCTGGTCATTGTTTACTTGTACCAGCTGGTCGATCTTGAAACACCGGTGACATCTGACAAAACCCTAAACCGTAAACCCTAAACCCTAAACCCTAAAACCCAAAACCCTAAACCCTTCTGACGCAAACCAGCTTGCTGGATATCCAGAACTTGCACTCGCTCATCACCTGCCAGTGAGACGCCGAGAAGATCATGGTGGCATTCATGGCTTCAGCTCGAGATTCTTGAATCCAAGCACCAAGAACATAAGTTCATGAAGTGTCTTGGTTGTTCTCTTCACACTGGCAGTTGGGAACTTTCACAACCACTTTTGTTCAGCTATTCCTTATCACAACTTTAACAAACTTGTCTTGGTGTCAAGAGAAGAAGCTGCAGGGTCACTCAGCATCACTCTCCAAGCACTGCCGATTTAGGTGGGTCCGACGGCTTTTTGATGAAGCATGCGTGGCACCTGTATATATAGACTGTTGATTGTTGTACCCTTTTTTGGCCGTGTTTTCTGCATCTTTTCCATCGATTTGCACGTCTAGAGTCTAGTGGCCGTGTACAGTGAAACAATCCATGGTCATGTGGGAGTGAAAATAACAACCCTCTTTGGTCAAACTCATGCTCGACTTCGAGTCGAACATCGGGCGGCCGTCACCACCATCGACGAAACCAGTATTTGAATCACGGTATTTCATGGGGTGTAATTGAATCTGCTTGCATGGCCCATCTCCTCAGGTTCGGTGTGTAGAACCCCCCCCAAAGCCACCCACCATCACCCACCCTAACCACCTTCGAAACGGAAGTCGGACAGGAGCCCTTATAGAGATCAAGTCTCAGTCGACCTGCGATAACACCTCTCCGCCTCAGATCCGGAGCCCGCCTGCATAGAAGTCTCGCAGTCCTCCACTGATATCAAACAGCAGAGTGTTGCCCACGCATGGTGCAATCATGTCGGGCACGGGCAAAAAACTCACCTGACGACAAAGCTCTCGGCGATCAAACAACAGAAACCTAAACACCAAGTGCACATCGCTGTCAGCGGGATGCTTAGGACCCTTCCAATTTGCTCAAAGTGACTCCCTTGCCAGGGAAATATCCATCCATTACAGCAGGGAAGCATTGGAGGCCGCTGCAGAGCCGTGGTGACGTCAAGAAGGGGAAGACACTGGTGGCCGCAATCACCGCTCCTGGCGGTCGAAGGGTATACCACTCGACTGGTACAGCGCAGTTCGCGCAGCACGGGCGTGGTATGGATGGCTGGTTCGCACCACGATTTGAAGATTCATGAAGATTCCAAAGGCAGTCATCTCTCAGTGTTTCTGAATGACACAGCCTCCATCACAACACTGGACTTCGTCACCAGAAAGCCCTCTGACTCTGACTCCCAATCTCTCTGACTCCCTCTTGGGCGACTGAATTCCCGACACCTTTATCATGAGCTTGCACACCCCAAAACACATTTTAAACAACAAAAACATCTTGGTGACGTGGATACCGGGGGATTGCGCACTTCCATGCTTGTTGAAGGGGGTGTATATACTAATGTTCTGACACCCCAAAAACACCAACTAAACCACTGAGTCGGATGGGGGGCAAAGAAAACCCACCCCAAACCTCCGCCGAGAACACCCCCTGCGCCCGCCAGTCCCGCGCCGCGCCGGAGCGCGTCCGGCCTAGCCGGTTGGGGCTCTCGAAGTCTGGTCCGCCGCGCACGGCGAAGCGATAGCAGCGGCGACCCTTGAAGCGCCGCAGGCTGAAGGCGAAGAACCTCGGAAGAACGGCGAAGGAAGAAGACGTTGTCCGGGTGACTGGGACTGTGGGGTGACTGGGTCAAAAGGATGGATGCAAATCGATGTATGACTGGATGTATGTGGATGCATGTCGCTGCTTGTGCGCCAGAAAGGAACAGGGATCTCGGCGTTGCGGTTTGACCATGGCGCCCTTTCCCAATCGCCAGATAGTCAGGACGAAGAGACCTGACTTATGAGACCTATGAGTATCACCAAGTACCAGCTACTTATAGTGTATTTCATGTTCTGAGTCAAAAATCATAAGGAGTGACGGAGTGAAGTAAGTTTAAGTACAACAACAAGTTAATTCCGCTATAAGTAACATCTCCAGGAAAGTAGCTCTTGGGATCTGTCGGAAAGTCCAGCGATGGTTGTGCGGGCCTGAAACTGGAACCGTCGTATTCAAGGGAAGTGGTCTTCTTGGATGGCCAATTTTTCTTGACAAGTGGCCAGACGGTTTGCTAGAATACCCATGGCCAGGTATATGTGGTATATGGCATACACCTACATCGACCAATAAAGCACCCAATGTATAGGGATATATTCCATACATGGATTGTTGGGGATGTGACATGTTGCCTTTGACGTTCCCAGACGAACAGCCTCTCCTTTTGACGAACAGCTGCGCGTTCACCGACTCCGGCTTTTCTTGAGCTGGTGGTTTCACCATGTTTCACCTTACTTATTAGTCGGTATAGTTCAATCATCAAAAACAAAGGCTACGAACGGGGCTCCTGGCCTTACTATTAGGAGCAAGAAGCCACTAGAGGCTCCCCTCATCGCTACTAGGAGCAAGGACGCTACTAGGCTTGAACCAAACCAACACCGATCATTAAGAGTTCACGGATGATCGTTGCGATGCTCGTTGCGGTGAGTGCCATGCGATGGGAAAGCCGGGGAACGCCTCACCGATACCCGAACAAAGGCTGTCCGGGACTAGGCATGTTGTAGCCTATTTTGGGGTGTTTGAAAAGGGGTGCATGTTGCACCTGCACTGTGCCTTCAAAGCACCTGCCTCTCAATACCGTTGTACTTGGACTCCCAACATCGACACACACTGGAGAGATGATGAAACAGGAAGCACTGGGTGGGACTTGGGACTGGAACATTTATCTACACTAACCCTTAAAACAGCTTCAAGCCACCCCAATGTAGGCAAATCTTCCATTGATTTGTGGGGCACTACACTATACTCCCTGAAATAGTCATGTTACGTGGATGGCATGGCCCTGAAAGGAAGACCATTTTCCGAATACCAAACAGGTGGTGCCATCCACTTCCACGATTATCTCAAGGGGTATGTATTTACATTGGGTGTATCCTAATACCTGCAACAGTGGAAAGACCGCCTTGTTCAAACATAGTGATCATTGTTTGCTGACTGGTACAGGTAAGATTGGACAAACCCAAGGTATATATAATCCACTAAATATACCCGTATAGTATCCCCAGCCTGGATCCAGGAATTGTTGCCGCCGATTCTCCGATTCTCAGCCAGTCAGTGACCAACTCTCACACACACTGTGCCATCCATCAGCCTCACACCCACATCCCTCTGAAAAGCTGGGATTGACCCAATCTCAGAACAGGTTTAAAGGGTGAAAGCCATGGCTTTGGAGGGTGAAAGCCATGGCGTTGGAAGGTGAAAGCCATGGCTTTGGAGGGTGAAAAAAAGCCAAGGTCTCCTGTACATCTTCCCTTTCAACGAGTCCATTGGCCCAAGCATCCAAATCAAGAGCTTCCCTTTGGAGGTCACCGCCTCATAGGCTCCTGCAGAATGCGAGTCCAGCCACACGAGCTGATAAGGAAACGTGAAAACAAGCACGGTCTGCTAACTGGAGTGTGAGCGGCCACATGAAGCTAGATTGGCTTAGCATCGTGCAGCTAGGTTGCCTCATACAGCTAGCCAAGTACATGTTGAGATCGATCCAACTTTCATTGCTTCAACGGCAAAAGGTTTAAATGGTCGATATTATAACCTCAAAGTATGGGAGACCTTCAAGTTCGGAAAGGATTTCGGATAGATGAACAACAAACATGCACCGAGGATAGCGTGGGATGTGTTCCTTCATATCTGCAGGGGGCGCAACGCATCGCGTGCCACCGAGACCACTGAGGTCCCGAGTGTGGCACCGGCGCTCGCTGCGCTCCTGGAGCCTTCACTTTGGCGAGCCATGCCAAGGAGGCCGCAAAGCTCTCAATGGCTTGGCAGCCCGGCAGAAGCAACGAGAAGGGGAATGGGAACAAGTGGACCACATAGACCTCAATGGACAAACGGAGTCAAGAATAGACCTGCAGAATGGATCAAAATGGTTCATTCAAGACCAGCAAAGCAAAAACAACTCACAACATGTTATTATCCTTTTTAGTGGGTGCGAATCAAACGTCCGAACATTGTTGCTGTCTTTGCTCACGGTCATGATTCCAGTGACAACCACCCCAGAAGAAAAAAATCAACATCATCGACACATTTCATAATTTTCTCAGGTTTCCCTACAATGGACAGTTCATGGATATTTCCTGAACTTCAGGCAAAAGGACTCAACAAGACCATACCACATCATACGACAACACACGGTCGACAAATAAAAACAACCCACACGCTGACACAAACAGGCTGATCGTAACTTGGGCATGTTCAATAAATATATGTTATTATATATATGTTCATGATGCGTTCGAGCCAGTCACATCTCGAAATCCACCTACTTGCTATGCAGGGTCAAAACGACTGGGGGGGTCCAATGATGGTTGGGGTGGAAATGGCTGAAGCTTCAAATCGGGAAGTTCCAAATAACGTCACCATGAGACCATGAGACTTTCATGACCCACTTTTCGTCCAAGAGGCGGCAGCGAGGACGCCTGAAGAGGGTGCAGGTGGGGGACCACCGGGGAGGACGTGAAAGGAGCGCGAAAGAAACATCGACTTGACTGCTTGGCGTGACCTCCAAGCCAGGTGTGTAAGAAGAAAAGAAAGCAAGCGGCTGAAACAGCACGGGGATTGCCAGCAAAACGAGCGCTTTCCGCAAAGCACATCAACAATCATACAACAAACTCATCACTTGGGAGTTTGTAGAAAACTCTTGCGGCTCCAAGTATTGTTCAGGACATGAGTAGCGTTCAGTATAGGCGGCTGATTTCAGCCTTTCTGAAAGGAAAATCCGATTCCTCGAAGGGCACTCAGTGGTCAATCTCTGACCATGTCCGCTGATCCCATGTGGCATGACAATGACATGAAACAAGCCCAAGCACTCAGAAGCATTCGACGGAAGAAACAAAAAGAACGTCTATATGAACAAATAACAATCTTTTGTGGAACATCCTTCCATTCATCAGCACTCTGGACTGCAAGTTGGAAACCAAGACTGACCCTCGATGCTTCGCCAAACGCACTCGGGCACTTCCGAAGAGCTGCCCACACAGAGTATCACAGAGTAAAGGTTCTCAGCTTGCGGGAGTTCCAATCTCAACACCCCAACTTGAAACATTCGCTGACCAGCTTCCATGATCTTCCACAACCAAACTTGCATGGCTTTGGGTCATGGCACCAGGATACCTTGGTTGACCTGCCGGCGACATTGCGAGTTCATGGTGGACCAGGACTCCACGTTTTGACCCACATATCATATCCACTGCTTCCTGAGCTGATTGGAGTGAAGGGCTATCACTGACTGGAGGATTGTAGGGATCCCCGGCAGCTTGCCCTGGGCCTCAACCTGAAACACATCCCTAACCATACGCCCACCCTGTGCCGGGCAAGTAAACCTCCTGGTTCACCTCCACACATCACCTCTGTTGTCCCCCCCCAAAAATACCGAACATGAACCGCCCGAGACGTTTTAAGTTGGCGCTTGTCCCGGTCCCCAGTGGCGGCCTGCCTGATTGGAAGAGCACATCCACACGCCCAGCGCCTTGCGTGGCCAAGAGCGCCACCATCGCTGCCCAGCTGCCGCTCGAGGCACCGGCGAAGTCGCAGTCCTGCACGGCGTCGCAGCACGACCCGCTGTGGCGGACCGGAGCTTCCAGGGATTCTATAGGGCTTCCATGGGGGGAAGAAGCACGACTCTGGAATAAGTGGCCCATCAATCTGGATGAGACATATTCAAAACACAATCTATAGTACCATCATTGGACCCTCTGGACTCTGGAGGGGTTTAGCTTAAAAGCACTTCACCTTTGAACTTGGGTTTTGCACCGAAAGACCACCAGCAACCACTGCAAAGCAACACCGACAGCCCAGTTCTGTGACACTTGCCCAAGCGGAACGCCATCCGTGTTTGGACAGCGGGACACCGCGCCTGAAAGCCCTCGGTGCCGAAACGTTCAAGGATGAAGTGGACCACACCCAAGACCTGTTCGCTCCGCTCTGGGTCACCCGGAGTTGACCATGTCTAAGGGCGTCTATTCGAACCACAGGTGTCCCGGTGCTGCCCCATCTCTGAGCGCAACGGAACCTTTGGACCCGAACCTCACCTTCACCTGTCAAAGAGGGTCCGAAAATTCTGAGGGCAGAATCAAAGCTATTGCTTTCTGATGTTTCGGGTGGTTTGGGGATGTGCTTTTCCGGAATCTCTACTTTTGGGCTGCTTGGGATCATGGGGGACATCAACCCAACTATGGAGGCCAAGGAACCATTTGGAGGCCGCTACTAGGTTGCCATTGGAGGCCATTACTATACTAGTAGCAAGAAGCTACTAGGGTGGAGGCCATCGCGGTCGTCGCTTGGAGAGCCGTTTGGCGGAGAATCTCCACGAGACGTCCGTCCGATGTGCAGAGTCCAATCATCACCAAACCCAAACGCACAATATGCTGTGAACTGCTTTCGTTGGGTCCAATACATTACTGTAATGTCAATAATTGTCAATATAGCATTTTAAGCTGAATTATCTACTACCTGAATTGTCCTTTCAATTCGAAAAACTATGGAGTAGTATTATAGGCTACATGGCATAAATCTGAAACCGTCAGAATCGATTGTGAATGAACCAGTCTTGACTCGTATCAGGTCCAAGCAGCGTAACAAGCCAAAGAAATGCCACCAGTGAAAACCATATGTTGAGAGTAGCTGCCTGGCACGAAAAGGGTGTTTCAATGGGAGCTCTAAGCAGTTGCGGAAGCCAGCCCCTAGTAGGAAGGTTGCATGGTTTGAACATGGTGAATGGCGGTCTTCCAAAGAGCAGGTGAATGAAGAGATCTCATGATCTCACCATCACAAAAGCTGCATCATCTAATGATAGCACACCCCTAGCATCTGAATCAGAACAGAGTCCAAACGACCGGATTCAGGGAAGTTCCATGTTGGGGATCGAACTGGTGGCTTGAGACTCTTCTGCAAGTTGATCCAGTAAAGCGAACGCGAATGAATCTTATCTCGTGATGTGAATCTGAATATGTATCTGATTACGAGTGCTGCTTGCATCACAAACATGTTGCCTTTTATCCAAAGTAAAGGCCCCCACAAAGTGACGCTTCAGTTGCACTTGGTGCAGTCAAAGTCATGGACTGCACATCATCAGCAATTGAAAACATCCATAGTTGCATGTACCATCAAGTACCTTTAATTTAGATTTGTCAGGAACTGTTGGAAAATTCAGTGTCAACAAATATGTATTATCGTTCTTGTTGTGAAAGTGTAGCTTTGCCGGTGCGAGAACAAAGCCATATATGTCTATATTTTATGCTAAGTCCCCTCACCCGCAAAAACGTCCAACCAGTGAACAAAAGGGGAAGAAAAGAATCATGTAACCTGAGAATCCAAATCAATAACTGGAATTCATTTCGTTCCAATCAAAAACATTCAACCAGTAAAAAACATCCAGTATGGAAGTGGACAAAAACTGAGAATCTCACCCGATCCCTTCACTCGGCTGAAAAACGAATCTCCGCTAAAGCCACCATCAAAAAGACCACCATAACAAAGAACAATAATTAACACGGAAAGCGGCTGAAACAATATGAAAAAACGAAACACTGCGCCACTGAACAATATGTAAATAACATTATATATAACTATATATATATATTACGGTTATCTGCACATGGCTTGGTTCATCATGGCTTATTCCATTTCACATGCGACCACCGCCTGCTTGCAGTCCATAGGGGATGCCGTGCCGGTCATCTTTCCACATGAGTTGACTCTGAGGCTCATGAGGTGAAAGTAGTACGGCCACCTGAGCGCAGCGCCGCACTGCACTGCAAAGTTTCGTCTGGATGCTTGGCCTCTGTAGCCACCGTTTGGTCACTAGCCTTGGAATCTGGCCTCTGTAGGTCATTCAATCATATATAGAGACTAAGAAGCAGTATATCATACAGTATCCATGTTGGAGAACTGGAAGGGTTCTTTTCCGGCGCTGTGGGGAAGCCTTTGGTGGCGGCACATCCATTTGCTTGACCAGCTCGAATCACTGATTCAAGAGGCTCAAACGTTGAAGAACCAGCTGGGGCCACCAACTGAGGAAGTCCAAACACTCAGCTGAGGAGACATTGACTGAGTAGGAAAAACATCGGCCTGCAGGAAGGTTGCATTGACTTGTCTGTTCACTTTGCTCCCTTGCTCAAAGGTATAAACAACCCGGCAGAAAGACCCGGCGTGATAGAAACCGATTCAGACTTCAAAGGGCCCAAACAAACGAATCGGAACCGCCAATCGCTCAATCCGCATGTTGTTGTCAAGTTGTAGTGGTTGGTCAGCTAAGCTTCTATAGTCACCAGTTGCGGTGTGTTCGAGTGGTTGGCATGCCTCCGTTCTAGGCTGTTCCCGAGAACATCCAGGATCACAGCTTGACATTTGGAGCAGTCGGCATGTATAAACAATGATTAATGAAGAATGAACTGGCACATGACCAATATGCCTGTGGGTCAAAACCAGGCTACCTGGGTTGACCACCAAAAATGAACGGAATAGACCATTAATGAGGTCAACCTATATACCCTGGTTTGGGAATATGGTTTTTGAACAAACGTGACCAATATCGACCAGATATGACACTCCAAAGTTCCCGGTCGCTGGTCTCCCCCAATACATGTAAGTGAAGATCTCCAATACATGGGGGGGCATGTCAGTTGTGAGGCAAACCCATGCAGCTTCGTGCAGTGTTGGTATGACTTTTGAGTGTTGGTTGACACAAATCAATCAAAGCATGCAAAAGACTCGCATTCTGACCCACCAAGATTGGGAAATAGGCCCCGGGAAGACGTTGCTCTACGAACAGGAGGGTTTTCCACACTTGGTGATTGGGAGAATATATCGATCTACAAGGACAAGTGATTACCCTGGAAGAGAGGAGAAAACACACCAACCTGGGACCCCCGTCGCTCCCTGTGTCTGATCGTCCCGCGATGGACTATTGAATACGTATTGATGTGAAGACCCTTTATACCAAAACAGTATAAATTATGCGATAGAACCAGGAGCACATCAATCCTGCTCAAGCTGCAGCGTCCCACAGGCAGGCCATCAAACACAGCATTGGGATGCGCGGAAGATAGCATGTGAACAGCAAAGCCTCGGAGAGCAGTTCATCGGCTTCCAGCGATTCCAGCTCGAGGACGTGCAAGTGAAGAGCCCCCTAATGATCACAGGACTGGTGGCCCCAGAACTGTAGAGACATGCAAGTAGACCATTTTGTCCAGCTTGGTTTCACAATACACTCCCTGAAATTCATCACAGTTCCATACCAAGTCATCAGGACTGTCATCCCAATGGTCGACCATGAGCGGTATGGACACATGAGGCTCCAGGAACCGTGGACACATGGTGCTCCACATGTGTGACTCCGGAAACTGCTCCACAGATATGACCAGTCTGTCGAAGGTGAAACATGGTGTCTGCCCCTCTCCACACCCCGAGTCGTTTTGCTCGCCACATGCACATGTCACAGAAGTGGTTTAAGGGAACAATCAACAGGAAAGGCATGGTTTTGGGGGGGTGAAAACACGGGTTTCCTGCAGATGTTCCTCTAAATTTAAACCCATTCATTGAACATGACATGGAAAAAAACAAACTTTGCTTTTTCCCTACAAACCGTTCACTGTCCATTCGTCATCGCTCCATGCAGGCGACGATGGCCACGAGGAAAAGGCTCACGCCGCAGCGAACCTTCTGCACCAGCTTCTCTTGAATCACAAACTGCATGTTTAGAGCAATCCTGCAGCTGTTCAATCATACCAAGAACATGATACCTGTGTTCTTCTACATGCATCCAATGAAAGAATAGCTGTATTCTTTCATTGAGGCGTCATTTGCCAGTTCGAGTTGACACGCACAAAAACATCCGTCAACTCCAGAGATCCACCCGCTTCTGAAACTCACCAGAACACAAGCAGTCCTGGGTCCAACCTCCAGAACAGCATCACTACTGCTCCAGCCTGGAAGTCTCTTCTCAGCCAGAAAAAGTATACCATACTGCTGGTGAGTCACTATAAAGTAGATCGGTTTCAGATTTCATCAGCCCTAAGCAAGTTGGCTTCGACCCTGACACACATGACTTTCGTCCCAAACGACATGGCGTCGCGTGATACCTCGCGGACCTGGCGAGGTTCCACTCTGGCAGTGCAAAGAGCATTGAAACTGAAACAACAGACACCACCCATGGGACTGCCATGTTTTTGCCTACACTGACCCCCAAAACCACGCCAATGTAGGCAAAAAAAGCAAAAAAAAACATGGAGTGTATGGGAATGACTAATGCTAATACTTTCACAAAATGAAGCGTTCCTGATGAGGAACTTTCAATGATTAACCTCGAAGTACATCAGGCCGCTCACCAACAAAAAATCATTGGCTCGGCTTGTCAGCACCATCTTCTTTATTCTGCGCAGTGAATGGGAACTGATATCAATCATCGGCTCAAGATCCCTGATGGATCCTGATAATGGTGGTTCAAACAACTAGTAGGCCAACATTGCTTGCTTGCTGTTGATGGATTTCCTCTTTGCACCGGTATTACTCTACAGGCTCTAGCTAGACGTGCCAATATGTCCGGGAAAAATATGACCATATACACAACAAAACAAAGGTTTTCATGACATGTCTCAGGATGTGTTCTTCTTTTTCACTGGAATCCTATGAACTGTGGCACCGGATAAAGATGTCTCGCATCTCCAGGAATTGGAGCGAGAGAGATGACAAGCCGCACATTACCAGTAGCATCCAGTAGCTTCTTGTTCCTAGTAGCGATGGCCTCCACCCTAGTTTTCATCGCAACATGGATCTGGATGTAAACAAAGCCGGTGCACCAAATGACATGCACCCTGTACGACATCCATTTGGAACCCACAAACTAATTTGAGGGGACATCTGAAAAGGGCTCCCTGGTTCTATGAACCTGCTCCAATGACCACAAGGCTTAACTGGCTATGCGATTTATTCTTCTCTTCCACAATCAACATCCAGTGGATTCAACAAGAAACATTGAAGGATGGTGGTGCTTGCCTTTTGGTGGCTTCCACTCACTTGAACAAATATGAGCCAGAAGGTTCAATCATGTTAAATGATATCAAAATATATCAAACATATTCAATCGGAGCCCGAAGGTTCATATCTGAAATCAGGATCCCGCCAAACAAAGAAATTCGACGTATCGATCCGGCCTCGTGCACGGCGCCAAGAAGTGAGGAAAGCATTCAAGATCGGCAGAATCAGCTCGAGGCGAACCAGCAAGAAGACGGTGCAGCCCTTTTTTTTCGGCCACAAGCTGTTGGAGGATTCTGGTCAATGGGGTATCAAACTGAAGGAACAGTCACATTGATATTAACACTTGGCAGTTTGGAGGTTAGATTAGGAGGCACCGACAAGAAGTCAGCTTGGACGATGGGAGAAATTGCAGAAATGGTCTGTACGACTTTCGAGCACATCTTCCCTAAATGTAACAGTTAAATCATGTTAAATCTAACTTGATTAAACCAGAACCATCCAGAACCCTCGAACAGGTCACCTGCCAATTCGATCAGTCTCCCTCAGGTCGCCTCCCACTTTGGGGCCTGACAGGTGTGTTGAAAAGGCCCACACCACACCCAGCCATTCTGCCCAGGTGCCAAATTGACCACAAAGCTACCCAAACCAATGACCATCGGTCCACTGCGGGGTCACTGGGGAGGTGGGTCAACAAAGCACGAGCTGTACATGAAATGTTTGGTTCTGCAAGCAGGGGCTGTGTGGCAAGTCGAGCTGTGTGGCGAGCAGGATGAAAGCTTGCTATATCGGCCGAGTGCGATTCTTGTGTTTGGCACATTCTTGATGTGATGGCACAAGATCTTTGGCGCTACACTTATCTATCAATGTTGGGATTGGCAATTTGCTTTTGCCCTTAAGACTGCTGGATGGCCAGCCCATCTTGCTCTCCATGTTCGAGCGGCAAGTGGCTGCGCACAGACTGGCGTTGATCTCCATTGGGCACACCGTTCAGAGAGCTCTCACGTGGTTGATGTTCATGCGGGGCCTCTCATCAACTGTCACGGGTGAACACATGCAAATGCTCTGATTTTTAACTGAGCTTCTGGAAAGCCCGGATTGGGCTGACCTGCCGGTTTCAGCAGAGCATCTTATGTACACGTCACTTGAGCACGCTCATCTGTCTCTCTCAACCTTTTGGCCGCTCTCGCCGCTCTCTCCAAAGAGATGTTCCACAAGCCAAATGAGAGAGCCAATGAACATCGGTGAGACTAAAGCATCGATTCCAGCTGATTCGAGCAGCTCGGCTGGAAATCGAACTCCGGGATGGATCCAGCGAGAAACAGAAGTTTCCTTTGACAGTGCCCACATGTGTCCACATGTGCCTTATTGGAGATTGACAGTTTATATACCTCAACTGAAGACAACTGAAGACCGTCTACTGCAAACCAGCAAATATCATGTTGAACAAATCAGCATGATAGCGTGGATTTGTTTGCTTCGGAAGGATTAAACACAAATAACAATCACCTGATTCACCTGATCCGCAAAACCAGGATAATGCCATTCCCGATTTCGGACACGTCGCCCGGCTGAGTTGGGCAACACATGGTCCGGATGGTCCGGACTGGCGGACTGTGCGTGCCTGGTTCTTCGCCCTCACAGGCTTCTGCACGTCTAGACCAAGCACGAATCCCATCAAACAACGCTTCTTCCTTCTGGTTTCAGCCGCAAATC